GTGCTTCTTCCTCCTGACCGTCAGTGTCTGGGAGTGCTTCTTCCTCCTGACTGTCAAGTGTCTGGGAGTGCTTCTTCCTCCTGACTGTCAGTGTCTGGGAGTGCTTCTTCCTCCTGACTGTCAGTGTCTGGGAGTGCTTCTTCCTCCTGACTGTCAGTGTCTGGGAGTGCTTCTTCCTCCTGACTGTCAGTGTCTGGGGTGCTTCTTCCTCCTGACGTCAGTGTCTCGGAGTGCTTCTTCCTCCTGACTGTCAGTGTCTGGGAGTGCTTCTTCCTCCTGACCGTCAGTGTCTGGGAGTGCTTCTTCCTCCTGACCGTCAGTGTCTGGGAGGAATGTTTTTAATTTTTTATTTTGAGCTCAATTGTTGGAAAAAATTCTAACTTTAGTGTTAGAAACAATATAGATTTTTAGTGAATAAATTAAGCAACTTGACTGATTTAAATGATTTCAGTATGGTTAATTTTGATGTTACTTGTTTACAAAAGTTGCGGTTGATGATTTATTAAGTTTCCTATCTGCAGATCTTATTAATTACAATCTACCATTGCCAGTGCCTACTGTAATTATACTTATTAAACTGTGTATTGTTGATGCAAAGTTTGTTTAATGACGAGTTTTACACTCATAAGTTTGGTATGGCAATGGGAAATCCTCTCTCGCCTGTTCTTAGTAATTTGTACATGGAATATTTTAAAAAAAGATTGCTTAACAAAATCCTTTCGAACAGAGCTAAGTGGTATAAATATGTTGATGATATTTTGTCTTATGCCTAAGAATATAGATATAAACCATTTCCTTGTTAAATAATCTAGCTCATTCCGTAAAGTATACCGTTGAGCTTGAACAAAATAACTCACTGCCTTTTCTGGATGTTTTAATTATTAAGGGGAACCATGATTTTAAATTTAAAATTTACAGAAAATCAACAAATAACTGTTCCTATGTAAACTATTATTCTTCACATCAAAATAAAGTTAAACTCTCTGTATTCTCATCAATGTTTTTGAGAGCTTTACGTATTTGCAGCCCAGAATTCGTAGATGAAATCTCGAAAATTTATGAAATAGCTAATGATCTAAAATACTCAAGAAACTTAGTTGATAAATCTTTTAAAATTGCTAGAAATACTTTTTACAATTCAAAAAGGGACAACCAACCTTATTCAGCTAAAAATATGTTGATTCTCCATTATCATGAAAACTTGGTTGATATGCCTTCTCTACTTAAGGATTTTAATATCAAAGCTGTATTAAAAAATCTTGATACAGTAAAAAAAAACTTCAAACAAAAATCCTCCAGAAATGGTAACGGCTGTGACTACGAGATTCCTTGTAAATTATGTGGTAAAGTTTATTACGGTCAAACTGGTAAAAGTCTTGAACTAAGATTAAAGCAATATAAATATAACAGAAGTGGACAAGATTCTAATGTTCTCTTTAGTCATGTGAGAGATACATAAATAACCCGCACATAGAAGAGAGAAGCTTACGACGACGTTTCGGTCCGACTTGGACCATGTGAGAGATGTTTAACCATCCAGTTGGTTTTCAAAAGGCTGAGAAAGTTGTATGTAGCAAGTTCATGATCGAGAGGAATATAAAAGAATCAAGTTTCATAAAAAATAGTTTGGAAAATAACATGAATATTACTTTTGAGTTACACAAATTGAATTTGTTTATAACTAATAAAATTTGGGAAGAATTTAAGATACATTATACAAATTAAATTCTAAATGCTTGGGTAAAATATAACCTGTGTTTCACTTATATCATAAAAAGTCAGGTGTTGTAAGGTAACTGTGAGGTGTAGTCTCCTCGTTATATGCCTTCCTCATGATCTTTTATTTTTACAGTTCATTGATAATGTGAGAAATCACGAAAACGCTTGGAGTTTCTTTATTTTTCACATGGCAGTTCTGCACACATACATATATACACATATACATATATATATATACACACACACACACACACAGGCAGGGACCAGGAGTTAAAACTTGATCTTTACAAACACAGCTTATTTAGTGTACACACACGCACACGACGCACACACACGACACACACACACACGACACACACACACACACACACACACACACACACACACACACACACTTGCATATACAGCAGGCCTAGTGTCTAATCGACATGTGCCTAGGACAAAATGGTAACTAACATACACATGGAGTAATGAGAAGTATTCCCCGGTAAAGTGACTTACGCCGCAGCTTGTTATCAGCGGTGCTGGGGAATTTACTTGTACCATGATAGTGTTAAGTGTTCCTTATGTATTAAGTTTATTTGAAAGAGTTATATTTAATTTTTAATGGACTACAATATTGCCAGACCATGAGTGTAATTTTTTTTTTTAAGAAATTTAGACGTATCATCAGCGTGCTGCTGCCCTAGTCTGTGTGATGGCCCACAGTGGAACAGTAGTTAATTTGTATCATGTGAAGTTTTGATTTTGGGAGGAACTAAGCTAAATTTGTCACTTATCCTGTCCACCTATCCCCCATATTACTCCCCCTACTCTCACCTCCCACATCACCAACCTCCTCCCCTCTCCCCACAACCATCATATCCTCCTACCCCACCCACCACCAGCTGATAACAGTGTTGCACTGCCGCTGTGCTGTTCTCACGTTACCGTGTTGAAAGGAATGCCTTCTGCTGCTGCTGTTGCTGCTATTGCTGCTTGTTTATGCTGGCTAGTGTTGTGACTCGCCCAGCTGCTGTGTTGATCTTTGGGCATCGATTACTTCACGTTCCTTGCTGATGTCATGTATACACCGAGACGTGTACATCCCTCGGTGTATGTACATAAGAACAAAGGAGTACTGCAGTAAGCTTACCGACCCATTGATGAATACATGAATGAATCAGATGTGGCACATGTCTCATTCATGTACTTGTCAGTGTGGTAAACCATTGAAGTAACACTGGCTCATGCTAGGCACATCCTTCTCAAATCCCACTTTTCCCACACTTGGAGAAGCATAGTACAAAATACCGACACATTGGAAAAAGATACACGCAAAGGCAGTATAATTCGACTCTTTGTTGACGACGCTTCCCTCAGTAAGATGATGTTATCATCTTACTGGTTTATCTAAATTTTTTAAATTTTCTGATGTTTTGCCAATGTTGTATTTCTATTATGTGTGGTAGTTTATTATATCGTGTTAGAGACATGACTCCTGATGATGGTGACGATTTGTCAGAGAAACCTTAACATACACTACAATAACTATATATCTCTTAGTCTTTCTCACTCACAGTAACTTAATATCTCATAGTCTTTCTCGCCTACAATAATTCTATATCTTTAGTCTTTCCCACCTGCCAAAATTCGAGAATTATATATATAGCGAGAGTTTACTCCACATTTTAGGCTTGATAGTCTCTTTGAGTGGTAGTGTATAGGCTTTTCGATCTTTGTTCAGTTTAGAGGCTTTAAACCTAGAAACTACACTATTTTACGAGGTCGTCACCAGCATATCTGTCCAGTAGTTTATTCTTAGGGAGTTTTCGTTACAGTTACCAACACCCAATGTGTATGATTGTGCTCTTCTGTACGATGAGTAACTGTTACCTTAAGGGAACGCAGTCAGTGTGCGCCTCCTCTGTTCAATATGATTACATGGGGAATACCCACAAAGTGATTGTTCAAACTTTAATTTGAAGGTGGGAAGTACAGTGCCTGCACTCAGCAGTGGGGAGTGTCCCCTCTTGTTTATGTAAGTTTGCATGGGTTTTGGTGTAGCGAAGGGTATTGGCAAGTATTTGCAGTGTTCGGGGTCGTAAACTGGCCAACGAGTAGGAACTTGAGGCACTGATTAGTGTTAAATGTCAAGAATCCCAAGTCTTTCCTCTCTTTCATTTTGTGTATACTTACCTAGTTGTATTAACCTAGATGTTTGTTAAAGTCGATTCATAGCTCCTGGTCTCGCTTCTTGGTTAATATCGATTTCTACCGGTAGATCACTTGTAAACCGTGTATCAGGAAGAGTAGTAGTCCAAGCACCTGCTCTTGAGGGAGATTCCACTTATCCTCCTTTTTTACTGTCATTCTCTTCCTTTATTTGCCAGGTATACCTGTACATTCCTAACGAATGGCCTCTATCTGTATTACTCCTGCCTGATATGCAGACTGTAATTGGTGTATCAGTCTCCTGTAAAACACTGTCTCGAGTATTTTGTAACTGTCTGGTATGATGGTCAGCAAAACTGGTCTGTAATTGGTTTGCTGTATATTTCACTGTTTTTTTTTTTTTTTTTTTGTAAATTTGGATTAAGTTTTCAGTTTTCCAGTTATCTGGCAGGTGCTTCATTTCTATGGATCTAGGGTGTGTATGGTCTTCCGTAATATCCTCAGTGATACCTTGCTTGGTTCTACTGTTTTCGTTTAATTTAAATTGTTTAGCAGCTCTCTTCTTCCTTTGCTATTTTAACCAAGTTTAATCTCTGCGTTCTCCCTTTTCTCCACTTCTTCCTGCCGTTTCTTTTAAGACTTCATAAACACTTGTTTTGATCCTTTGGTTTGATTATTTGCATTCTTCTCAGTCATCCATTTTCACTCAACTCCCTCGTTGAGTCTTCTTACTTAGTCTCTTACTGACATCTTCCATCTTACGTGACTGTGCATCAGCTTGAGTGCTATTCTGGTCTTAGCTGCTGCTTTCTTTCTTCTTGCTTATATATAATAAATAATAGTCTTTCTTAGCTCTAATGTTCATTTTTCTGTTTTCTGTCAATCACCTTTTTTTTCTGTGTGTGTGTGTGTGTGTGTGTGTGTGTGTGTGTGTGTGTGTGTGTGTGTGTGTGTAGGAAGCATACAGGGACCCTGGGGGATCAGAGTTAGGGTGTCAGTGTCAACCAGATTGTGACGTTGACAGTGGCACCGTGTCTGCTGCTCCACAAGGTTCACTGCCACCGTGGGCCTCACTCTGACACACCATGCCAGTATCACCTGAAGTTCACCTGTTTCATGTGTCACAGGAATGTTAAGTTTTTAACACAGTCAAGGACACTCGACTGACAATGGCGGAACGATGGTGGTTTTGTTGGTGAATAATGATGGATAGTGGCAGTGAGGCAGCAGCCGGGTGAACAGCCAGTGCCACAGTGCCTCAAATGCCACAGTGATACAACCAGTGTCCAGAGCTCTAATCTACAACTCCCGGCCTGAGGTCGCACTCTTAATTGATAAACTAAGCAGTTGCTGTTTGCAGCCTACAATTCTGTTAGTGTCAGAGGATGTCATTGTACGACGTGGCGGTGGGCGGCAGTGACTGGTGGGCGGCCAGTGTGAGGTGGGCGGTATTCAGTTGTTAATATAGGCACGTACCGCAGAGATGCCTCGTTACGACGATGCTATGCTGGACCACGTGGGGGTGGGCGTCAAGACTGTGTTTTGGCCGGACCAGGTCGATTGGGCGGCCAAACCCCCGCCCGCCAGGACTTACTCTGCTAGGAGCCTGATAGCCGCCCTCAGGAGGCACCGTGCTGGCTATACGGTGTCGCCGCCCACCTCCACCACCCACTTGCCACCCACCACCACCACCCCTAGGCAGCAGCGACACGCCCTGGCCCGCAGTCGCAGCTACACGGACACCCACACCTCCAGGACGCCCTCACCCACCTGGGCAACACCAAGTTTCTCTCCGTTGGCTAACCATGCAGTCACACCCATGCTCTCCTGCGTTAGTTTACTTTACTCCGGGTCGTCAGTACCAACGTCTGGCGCTACACCGCTCACCACACCGCCATCCAAACCGCCCACTACTCTCGTAAGCCTGTGCCGACGCGGCATCAAAGAGGGAGGGAGCAACTCTTCTCTCAGCTCTTCCTTCAGCCCTCCTCTCAGTCCTCAGCGGCTACCTCAGCCCACTTTCAGGAGCTGTGTCACAGCCCCCTCCAGCCCCACCCAGGTTCCCCGAGGATGGCCGCCCTCTTGCCCCTGCCGGCCGCCCAGGGGTGGGGAGGCGAGTGGGAAACAGTGGGGGGTATGTACCTTGGGCCGCCCATCCTCCGTCAGGAACCGCCGGGTGCACAGGATGAACCAAATGTCCATGGAGAAGAATACTGCCCAGTACAACCAGTGGTTGCAAGGTCAGTGTCTGGCCCCACCATTCCCTCAGTAACACCCATTACTACAATAGCACCCATGGCTACAGTAACACCCGTTGCTATAGTAACACCCGTTACTGTAGTAACACCAGTTGCTATAGTAACACCCTTTACTATAGTAACACCCGTTGCTATAGTAACACCATCACTACTACATAACACCATCGCTACAGTAACACCCATCACTACAGTATCATCATCACTATAGTAACACCACTACAGTAACACTATCACTACAGTAACACCATCACTACAGTAACACCATCACTACAGTAACCATCACTGCAGTAGCACCCATCACTGCAGTAACACCCATCACTGCAGTAACACCATCACTGCAGTAACACCCATCACTACAGTATCATCATCACTATAGTAACACCACTACAGTCACACTATCACTACAGTAACACCATCACTACAGTAACCATCACTGCAGTAACACCCATCACTGCAGTAACACCCATCACTGCAGTAACACCATCACTGCAGTAACACTCGTCACTGTAGTAACATCCATCACTGCAGTAACATCCATCACTACAGTAACACCCATCACTACAGTAACATCATCACTACAGTAACATCCATCACTGCAGTAACACCCATCACTGCAGTAACACCATCACTGCAGTAACACTCGTCACTGCAGTAACATCCATCACTACAGTAACACCCATCACTACAGTAACACCCATCACTACAGTATCATCATCACTACAGTAACATCATCACTACAGTAACACCCATCACTACAGTAACACCCATCACTACAGTAACACCCATCACTACAGTAACACCCATCACTACAGTAACATCAATCACTACAGTAACACCCATCACTACAGTAACATCATCACTACAGTAACACCCATCACTACAGTAACACCCATCACTGCAGTAACACCATCACTACAGTAACATCATCACTACAGTAACACCCATCACTACAGTAACACCCATCACTACAGTAACACCCATCACTACAGTAACACCCATCACTACAGTAACACCCATCACTGCAGTAACACCATCACTACAGTAACATCATCACTACAGTAACACCCATCACTACAGTAACACCCATCACTACAGTAACACATCCACTCACTACAGTAACACCATCACTACAGTATCATCATCACTACAGTAACACCCATCACTACAGTAACACCCATCACTACAGTAACACCCATCACTACAGTTACACCCATCACTACAGTAACACCCATCACTACAGTAACACCCATCACTACAGTAACACCTATCACTACAGTAACACCCATCACTACAGTAACACCCATCACTACAGTAACACCATCACTACAGTATCATCACTACAGTAACACCCATCACTACAGTAACACCCATCACTACAGTAACACCCATCACTACAGTAACACCCATCACTACAGTAACACCCATCACTACAGTAACACCCATCACTACAGTAACACCCATCACTACAGTAACACTATCACTACAGTAACACCATCACTACAGTGACGCCCATCACTACACTTACATCCATCACTACAGTAACATCCATCACTACAGTAACACCATCACTACAGTTACATCCATCACTACAGTAACACCCATTACTAAACACCCATCACTCATGTGAGTGAAAAACAGGTCAATAAAACATTTCACACTGGCAGAACGGCTGGTGTTTTGTGTCTGACTCATGAACACCTACAATGACAGGTAAATCCCCTATAATACCTGTCTCGTTAACATGTAAGAGAGAAAATAAATCCCCTGTAACACCTGTCTCGTTAGCAAGTAAGATGGTAGGTAAATCTCCCATAAATCCTGTCTCATTAACATGTAAGGTGACAGGTAAATCCCTTGTAACACCTATCTTATTAACACGCAAGATAACAGGTTAATCCCCTGTAATGCTTGCGTCATTAACACGCAAGATAGCAGGTAAATCCCCTGTAACACCAGTCTCATTAACACGCAAGATGGCATGTAAATCTCCCATAACTCCTGTCTTATTAACACGTAACAGGTGCAGATAAATTGACTGTAACATCTCACTCAACACCTGACCCCAGTAACATTTTTACCTATTCGTTGCTCTTACCGAGTATTGTTGTGTTCCAACCTAATTAACATCGTGTTTTGCAGCCTCCGTCTTGTACAAATAGTTACCTGGTTGATTTTTTTATGCGAGTGGTTCGCCGGTAGTGTTCGGGCCCGGGTTTTGTCCAGTTGGTGACCCGGCGAAAAAGTCGCTCAGTATTTGCATTATCCGATTTACCTGGGTCTTGCTTGAGGAAGCAACAGGTGCCTGATGTTATTGATGGATCCTCTCCTAGCATCCGTCTCGTAGACGCTGCTACAAACAATACTCTCTATGTTTTAACACTGTGTGTGTGTGTATACTCAGTTGTAGTTGCAAGGGTCGAGACATAGCTCCTGGTCCCTCCCTCCTGTGTGTGTGTGTACTCACCTATTTGTGGTTGCAGGGATCGAATCATAGCTCTTGGCCCCGCCTCTTCACTGATTGCTACTAGGTCCTCCCCTCTCCCTGCTCCACGAGCTTTATCAAACCTCGTCTTAAAACTATGTATGGTTCCTCCCTCCACCACGTCACTATCTAGGCTGTTCCACTTCCTGACAACTCTGTGACTGAAGAAATACTTTCTAACATCCCTTTGACTCATAGGAGTCTTCAACTTCCAATTGTGACCCCTTGTTTCTGTGTCCCATCTCCGGAACATCCTGTCTTTGTCCACCTTGTCAATTCCTCGCAATATTTTATGTCATTATCATGTCTCCCCTGACTCTCCTCTCCCCCAGTGTGTGTGTGTGTGTGTGTGTGTGTGTGTGTGTGTGTGTGTGTGTGTGTGTGTGTGTGTGTGTGTGTGTGTGTGTGTGTGTGTGTACGTGTGTGTGTACGTGTGCGTGTACACAGTGTGTGTAAGAAAACTTTGAAATAATGAAAATATCTAAATCGAATAGTATTCCTTGTTTTTGCTTCCATTTTCTGTGAAAAGCATTTTTCTGAGAACGTTTTCTATATAGGTGATATAGGCACTGACTAAACAATGTGTACTCACCTATAAATAACAAAAAGGCACAATACCGTGACTGGAACGATACACAAATAACCCGCACATAAAAGAGAGAAGCTTACGACGACGTTTCGGTCCGACTTGGACCATTGACAGTCACACAGTGTGACTTTGTCAATGGTCCAAGTCGGACCGAAACGTCGTCGTAAGCTTCTCTCTTTTATGTGCGGGTTATTTGTGTACTCACCTATATGTGGTTGCAGGGGTCGATTCATAGCTCCTGGCCCCGCCTCATCACTTGTCGGTGCTAAGTCACACTCTCCCTGCCCCATGAACTTTATCATACTTCTTCTTAAAGCTATGTATGGATCCTGCCTCCACTACATCACTTCCCAGACTGTTCCACTTCCTGACAACTCTGTGACTGAAGAAATACTTCCTAACATCCCTGTGATTCATCTGAGTCTTTAACTTCCACCTTGTCAATTCCTCTCAGTATTTTATATGTCGTTATCATATTCCCCCTATCTCTCCTGTCTTTAAGTGTCTTCAGGTCGATTTCCTTTAATCTCTCCTCGTAGGACATGCCCCTTAGTTCCAGGACTAGTCTTGTTGCAAACCTTTGCACTTTCTCTAGTTTCCCTAAGTGCTTGGCTAGGTGTGGGTTCCATACTGGTGCTGCATACTCCAATATAGGCCTAACGTACACGGTGTACAGTGCCCTCAATGATTCCTTATTAAGATGTCGAAATGCTGTTCTTACGATTGCTAGGCGCGCATATGCTGCAGCAGTTATTTGGTTGTTGTGCGCCTTAGGAGATGTGCCCGGTGTTATACTCACCCCAAGATCCTTTTCCTTGAGTGAGGTTTGTGTGTACGTGTGTGTGTGTGTGTGTGTGTGTGTGTGTGTGTGTGTGTGTGTGTGTGTGTGTGTGTGTGTGTGTGTGTGTGTACTCACCTGTTTGTGGTTGCAGGGGTCGAGTCCTAGCTCCTGGCCCCGCCTCTTCACTAGTTGCTACTGGGTCCTCTCTCTTCCTGCTCCATGAGCTTTATCAAACCTCGTCTTAAAACTATGTATGGTTCCCGCCTCCACTACGTCACTTTCTAGGCTATTCCACTGCCTGACAACTCTATGACTGAAGAAATACTTCCTAACATCCCTTTGACTCATCTGAGTCTTCAACTTCCAATTGTGACCTCTTGTTTCTGTGTCCCCTCCCTGGAACATCCTGTCTCTGTCCACCTTGTCTATTCCGTGCAGTATTTTATATGTCGTTATCATGTGTTCCCTGACCCTCCTGTCCTCCAGTGTCGCCAGGCCGATTTCCCTTCACCTTTCTTCATAAGACATTCATTCCCCTTAGCTCTGGAACTAACCTTGTCGCAAACCTTTGCACTTTCTCTAATTTCTTGACGTGCTTGATCAAGTGCGGGTTCCAAACAGGTGCTGCATACTCCAGTATGGGCCTGACGTACACGGTGTACAGTGTCTTGTACGTACGTGTGTGTGTGTACTCGCCTAGTTGTACTCACCTAGTTGAGGTTGCAGGGGTGGAGTCCGAGCTCCTGGCCCCGCCTCTTCATTGGTCGCTACTAGGTCACTCTCCCTGAACCGTGAGATTTATCATACCTCTGCTTAAAGCTATGCATGGATCCTGCCTCCAATACACCGCTTCCCAGACTATTCCACTTCCTGGCTACTCTGTGGCTGAAGAAATACTTCCTAACATCCCTGTGATTCATCTGTGTCTTCAACTTCCAACTGTGTCCCCTTGTTGCTGTGTCTCATCTCTGGAAAATCCTGTCTTTGTCCACCTTGTCAGCTCCCCTCAGTATTTTGTATATCGTTATCATATCCCCCCTATCTCTCCTATCCTCCAGTGTCGTCAGGTCGATTTCCCTTAACCTCTCCTCGTAGGACATACCCCTTAGCTCTGGGACTAGTCTTGTTGC